CAACTAAAAATTCCGAAGATTGCAGAAAACTTAATTTCAACGTTTAGAAAAGTTTCGATCTTTTTCAAATTTTCAAAGGAATTCTCTAAAGCAAGTATGATAAATAGAAAGTCTTTCACAGTGTTTTTCAATTTTTTGAAAAAAGTGTATATATAAAGAATTTCAAATATTAAAAAAATATTTTTTTTGTTTCCATTAAAATTTTTATGTAATCGACAAACTATTATTAATCATAAAAAATAAATTTAAAACTATGAAAAAATGTGAGACTAACTCTGCTGGGGATCGAAACCCAGGACCTATCAATTGCCGGTTGATTGCTTTTACACTGAGCTACAGAGGTCCACATCCAACAAATTTTCATAGTTTTATCGACCCAATAATCAAGGTGTTTCGCATTCTTCTGCTACATATTATTTGAATTTTCCCAGAATTTTTCACGATACAATTGTCAATTCATTAGTATAAGGGATTAGTATTAGGGACTTACGTCCCTTTACTAAATGTGAAGTTAAAACCTACTATAATATCGACCAAGTTTCAAATTCTAGAAGTACCGGTATCTGAATCTAGACATCACCGTCAAATCAATAAATAATTGAAAAATAAATTTCAAACTATCAAAAAATATGAGAGAGACTTACTAATAAAAAAAATTCCTGTAAAAGAGACTTACTAATGAATTAGCAATTGTTTCGTGAAAAATTCTGGAAAAATTCAAATATTATTAATCATGATATTTAACAAAACACTATAAAATATTTGACATGATGAATCACTTTTTTTAAATAGACATGATAAAAATGAGGGAAGCTTACTGTCTAAAGGATTTGGAAGGAAAAATAAGTAATCCAAAAAGAAAAGAAGGTAAAATTTACAATCATATTACTTAGATATTCATAATGTTTTAAAAACATGATACAAATTTAAATCTCCTGTTTGTAATCCTTAAAATTTATTTAAATATTTAATATATGGGTGATTCTACAAAAGAGGGAATTTTGATGTCTGAAGCATGTTTTGTATATTAATGTTGGAAAGAATAATTAACAATATTAAAGTCCGTATTCCGTTTGCATATATATATTTTGTCTGTTCGCATTTAGTATGTCTGTTCGCTTTTAGTATGTCTGTTCGCCGTTAGAGGGAGCAAAACGCCCCCTTCACAGCGGGGGTCTGCGAGGGCTACTTGGAGTTGAGTCCCGAGCAACCTTCACAGCGGGGGTCGCTTGGACCCTCAAACCCTCATTAAAGAAAACTGCTAATGACTTTTTCTATAAAATATAAATTTTTTAAATAGTAACATTTTTTATTTTTCATTAACATATTTAAATTCCTTACTTTCTCACGATTTTATACATATGTTGTTTACCAAAAAAATGTTAAAATTTAAAGATTAAGTTAAATATTTATTTAATAATAGGTATGGTTTTTGGTAGAGTTAACTTCATTCTATGTATCTGGAAAAATAATAAATTTTTTTAATTTAAACTTTTTTTTGGTAAACAACATATGTATAGAATCGTAAGAAAGTAAGGAATTTAAATATTTTAATGAAAAATAAAAAATGTTACTTTTTAAAAAATTTGTATTTTTATAGAAAAAGTCATTAACAGTTTTCCTTAATAAGGGTGTAAGGGTCTGAGCGATCCCCGCTGTGACGGTTGCTCAGGACTCAGTTTTGACTTGGTGTGCCGTATGGTGGGGGAAGGCTTCTTTCCCTCACGGGACTAACTTGGACATCACTCCTTGTATGTAGTGTAGAGAGATAACAATCGTGCTTCGTGAGTGGTATATTCATTTTTTGAATATATCACATTACTATTTGAAATACTTTTTTTTATTTTGGATAACATTAGATATTTTCTTTTCTTTTTTTGTATAATTTCTCTACAATTTGTAGAGAGTTAATTAAAGTGTTTCGTGAGAGGTATAGTTATATTTTTTTAAATATTATATTATCATTTGATATAGTTTTTTTAATTCTGAATTTAAAGGATAAAGAAATTGACATTTTTTTCTGTTTTGAATAAAATTTAATATTTTTTCTGTTTTAAATAACATTTGATTTTTTTATTTAAAAGATAAGAAAAGAAATATTGGATAAAATTGAAATTTGGATATTGGATGAAATAAAAGATAAGAAAAGAAATATTGGATAAAATTGAGATTTGGATATTGGATGAAATAAAAGATAAGAAAAGAAATATTAGATAAAATTGAAATTTGGATATTGGATGAAATAAAAGATAAGAAAAGAAATATTGGATAAAATTGAAATTTGGATATTGAATGAAATAAAAGATAAGAAAAGAAATAGTGGATAATATTGAAATTTGGATATTGAATGAAATAAAAGATAAGAAAAGAAATATTGGATAAAATTGAAATTTGGATATTGGATGAAATAAAAGATAAAAAAAGAAATATTGGATAAAATTGAAATTTGGATATTGGATGAAATAAAAGATAAGAAAAGAAATATTGGATAAAATTGAAATTTGGATATTGGATGAAATTGGAATTTAAAGTATTTAAAATTTAAAATGGATTAAACAGAAATATATATATTGGATGAAATTGGAATTTGATGCATTTAAAATGGATTAAAGAGAAATATATTGAATGAAATTGGAATTTGACGTATTTAAAATAGAATAAAGAGAATATATTGGATAAAATTTGAATTTGACGAATTTGAAATAAATTAAATAGAATATATTGGATAATATTGAATGTAGGCTTATTGGATATGTAAATTGGATGAATTTGGAATTTGACGAATTTGAAATATATTAAACAGAATATATATTGGATAAAATTGAATTTAGGGCTTATTGGATATGTATATTGAATAAAATTGGAATTTGACATATTGAAAATGAATTAAATAGAATATTGGTTGTTGAATTCAAAAGCATTGTTTTATGGGTTAAATATGATTTGATTGGTTAAATATTGATATGTTGGTTAAATAATTAAATATTGGATAAAATTGGAATGTGGCTTATTTGAAATGGAGTAAATACACTTTATTAGTTCAAATCTTGAATATTGTTTTATGAGTTAAATATTGGTTGGTTTGTATTATTGATATAGGAGACAATGATTTTGTAAGAATTGATGAAATTGTGATGTAGAAAATATAAATTGGGAAAACGTAATTATTATTATCAAAACCCACAAATTGGAATTAAAAATAGATTAAGAAGAAAATATTGATTAAAAAATGTCGAGAATAGAAGGTCAAGTTAATTTAAGTGCTACAGAATATAGAGAAATACTTAATAATAAAGATATGTTAAGTGATAATCATATTTATGAATTTGGAAAAATTTTGGAAAGAGAATCAAATTCTGTGTTTAGAATGCAAAGTACTTTATTTGTAAATGAAGATCTGCTTGAACATATTAGACCTATTGGAGTAGGCAAAAAACATATTCAAATACTATTTAGTGGTCATAATAAGAGGGGTCATTGGATTTGTACGTATTATGATGGAGTAAGAATTTATATTTTTGATAGTCTTAATGAAAAATGTCTGAATGAAGATCAGTTGAATTATTTAAGTAGATTATATCCTTTTAAGCCACCAGTAGTTTTTGTTACTGTTGATCAACAACCAATGGGTAGTGTTGAATGCGGAGTATATGCAATAGCATTTGCAACATCATTATTTTATAATGTTATGCCAAACACTGTTAATTACGAAAGCATAAATAACAAAATGAGGCAGCATTTAAACAAAATATTTCAAGATAATCGTCTATGTCAGTTTTCAGCAGGGACCGTCACGGAATCAAAACAAAATTGAAAAATACTTTTGTTTTGATTCGGATATGGGTATCAGAATCAAAATTCCACTCTATTTAGTTCTGATTCCAATATCAAAATCAAAATTCAACTCTATTCTGTTTTGGTTTCAATATCAAAATCAAAATTCAACTCTATTCCGTTTTGGTTCCAATATCAAAATCAAAATTCAACTCTATTCCGTTTTGGTTCCAATATCAATATCAAAATTCAACTCTATTTCGTTTTGGTTCCAATATCAAAATCAAAATTCAACTCTATTTCGTTTTGGTTCCAATATCAAAATCAAAATTCCATTCTATTTCGTTTTGGTTCCAATATCAAAATCAAAATTCTTTTTTGTTTTAATTTTGATAAAATACTACTGCGCATGTATAAGTCTCATTGTACCTAAATTTTGTTGCAAATGTCAAATATATCAGAAGATAATATCGTTTTTACATACGAAATCTGAATTAGAAATCGAATCGACTTCTGTTTCTATAAGAAAACCGAATTGCAGTATTATAGTATCAGAATCAAAATAGGAAGTGAATTTTGTTTCGTTACATTATCGGAATCAAAATAGAAAGTGAATTTTGTTTCGTTACCGAATCAAAATCAAAATAGAAATTAAATTTTGTTTCGTTACATTATCGGAATCAAAATAGAAAGTGAATTTTGTTTCGTTACCGAATCAAAATCAAAATAGAAAGTGAATTTTGTTTCGTTACCGAATCAAAATCAAAATAGAAATTAAATTTTGTTTCGTTACAGTATCAGAATCAAAATAGAAAGTGAATTTTGTTTCGTTACCGAATCAAAATCAAAATACATTAATAATTTCGTTTTGTTTTGGAATATCGTAACGAAATCAAAATTTGATTTCCGTGACGGTCCCTGGTTTTCAGAGATGAGAAGATCGAATATGAGACATTCGATTGTAGAGTGTGATTGGAAGCGTCTTTTGAATTCTGAAAAAACAAATTCTTATAATTTTTTGAAGACACACCCTTGGAATAATGTAACTAATAATAAAATTGTAACAATGGAGCAGTCAAAGGCTAAGTGTTCTTTGAATCAAAAAAATGATAATAATTTTAATTTAATTAGTAATAATGATAATAGAGGCTATATAATTGAGCACTCCAAAAGTAAGTGTCTTTTAAATGAAGAAAATAATAAACAAAGATTGTGTGCAATAAAAGCTAAAGAAAGAATGAAGAAAGTAAGGCAGGAAGAAACGGAGGAGCAAAAAATAATTAGGAGAGAGAATTACAGGTTAAGAAAACGTAGTAGACGAGAAACAGCAACTGAAATTGAAAAGAAAAAGCTCCAAAAAATAGATTCAGAGGCTAAGCGATTTTTGAATGAAAGAAATGATAAGATTCGTAATTCTACTAGTAATAATGACAATAAAGGTTCTATAATTGAGCACCCCAAAAGTAAGTGTCTTTTAAATGAAGAAAATGATAAACAAAGATTGTGTGCAATAAAAGCTAAAGAAAGAATGAAGAAAGTAAGGCAGGAAGAAACGGAGGAGCAAAAAATAATTAGGAGAGAGAATGACAGGTTAAGAAAACGTAGTAGACGAGAAACAGCAACTGAAATTGAAAAGAAAAAGCTCCAAAAAATAGATTCAGAGGCTAAGCGATTTTTGAATGAAAGAAATGATAAGATTCGTAATTCTACTAGTAATAATGACAATAAAGGTTGTATAATTGAGCACCCCAAAAGTAAGTGTCTTTTAAATTGAAGAAAATGATAAACAAAGATTGTGTGCAATAAAAGCTAAAGAAAGAATGAAGAAAGTAAGGCAGGAAGAAACGGAGGAGCAGAAAATAATTAGGAGAGAGAATGACAGGTTAAGAAAACGTAGTAGACGAGAAACAGCAACTGAAATTGAAAAGAAAAAGCTCCAAAAAATAGATTCAGAGGCTAAGCGATTTTTGAATGAAAGAAATGATAAGAGTTGTAATTCTACTAGTAATAATGACAATAAAGGTTGTATAATTGAGCACCCCAAAAGTAAGTGTCTTTTAAATGAAGAAAATGATAAACAAAGATTGTGTGCAATAAAAGCTAAAGAAAGAATGAAGAAAGTAAGGCAGGAAGAAACGGAGGAGCAAAAAATAATTAGGAGAGAGAATGACAGGTTAAGAAAACGTAGTAGACGAGAAACAGCAACTGAAATTGAAAAGAAAAAGCTCCAACAAATAGATTCAGAGGCTAAGCGATTTTTGAAGGAAAGAAATGATAAGATTCGTAATTCTACTAGTAATAATGACAATAAAGGTTGTATAATTGAGCACCCCAAAAGTAAGTGTCTTTTAAATTGAAGAAAATGATAAACAAAGATTGTGTGCAATAAAAGCTAAAGAAAGAATGAAGAAAGTAAGGCAGGAAGAAACGGAGGAGCAGAAAATAATTAGGAGAGAGAATGACAGGTTAAGAAAACGTAGTAGACGAGAAACAGAAACTGAAATTGAAAAGAAAAAACTCCAAAATATAGACTCAAAGACTAACGGTTTATTGAATAAAAAAAATGATAAGATTTTTAATTCAACTAATAATAATGATAATAGAGGTTGTATAATTGAACAACTAAGGAAAGATGGAACAGAGGAGCAAAAAAAAATTAGAAAAGAGAATGATGGGTTGAGAAAACGTAATAGCTCAGAAGCAGAAATAGATTTAAGAAATAAAAAACAAAAACTTACATTAGGAGTTGCAATTATGCCTTTTGAAAATTTTGATGAATGTAAATTTGAACAAAATTATTTGGGTTTGTTGAATGTTAAGTGCGAGTTTTGTGCTGCATTACATTTTATGTGTGAAAGACCACTAGATAAAAAATTTAGTAGTTGCTGTCATAAGGGAAAAGTAAAATTAGATGATTTAAATGATTATCCGATTTATTTACGTAATTTATTAAATGATTCCAACTTGGATGGTAAAAATTTTAGGGAAAATATTCGTTCTTATAACAGTTCTTCTGCTTTTGCCAGTATGGGAGCTAAATTAGAAATTCCTAAAGGGTATGGTCCTTATGTTTTTCGTATACATGGACAAGTTTGTCATAATACATATGCTCTTCATCCTAATGATGGTGACAGTTTAAAATATGGTCAGCTGTATATTCTTGATACTAATGAAGCTGTATTTGAACGATTAAAAAATGAATCAAATAAAAAATGTTTACCATCATTACTGGAAGGAATAGATAAATTATTAAGAGAGGTCAGTCCATTTGCAGATACCTTGAAAATGATGAGAGAAATAGAATTAGAAGAAGAAACTAGAGCGAAATTGAAAAATAAACCTATAAGGGATATTCAAATGTGGATCAAACGGGATAGATCATTAAATCAAAGTAAATTCAATGTACCATCTTGTAATGAAGTAGCAGTTGTATTTGTGAGTGAAAATGGTGAACCTCCAGTGGATCGTGATATATGTATACATCCAAAAGGTTCTGAAAGTATTCCCATTTCTATTCTTAGTGCAAACGCTGATCCTATGATATATCCTTTAATGTTTCCTTCAGGTGATTTAGGATGGACTGTAAACATTAAGCAAATTAATAGTGTTCGTAATGTTACTGCTTTACAATTTTATATGTATCGCCTTTCTTACAGAGGAATGTTTAATCCATGTACGCAAATGGGAAAATTAAGTCAACAATTTATAGTTGATATTTGGTCAAAAGTCGTAGCTGGACGCATAAGTTTCATTTATAAAAATCAAAAACAACTTCGAGTAGAAATGTACTGTGGATTAATGGATTATGTACATAATAAAGCAAATAGAGAAAATGTAAAACCAGGAAGAATAATTATTTTACCATCAACATTTACTGGAGGACCACGTTCGTATCAACAATCTTTTATGGATGCCATGAGATTAGTTCAAGAATTTGGAAAACCTGATTTATTCATTACAATGACATGTAATCCAAAATGGCGAGAGATTAGAGAAAATTTGTTGGAAGGTGAAATTGCGTCTGATCGACCGGATATTGTACCTAGAGTTTTTCAACAAAAGGTAAAATCGCTTATGAGTGAATTAAAAGATAAAAATATTTTTGGATCAGTTCTCGCTTATGTGTATGTAATAGAATTCCAAAAGCGTGGATTGCCACACATACATTTAATTTTATTTTTGGATAAAACTTTTGCGATTCGTGATGCAGAATCTGTAGATAAAATAATATGTGCAGAAATTCCAGATGAAACAAAAAATCCAGAACTTTTTAAAATTGTAAAACAATTTCAAGTCCATGGACCTTGTGGAAAGCAAAATATGAATTCGCCTTGCATGAATCCGGAAACAAAAATTTGCGTGAAACATTATCCAAAACCATTTTGTTCAGAAACAAATTATGATTCAAAAAACTATCCGGAATATAGACGAAGAAATGATGGTAAAAAAATAATTTTTTATAAAAAAGATGGAACAATTAAATGCTGTTACAAACCAGAAATAAATTTATTAATTAGGCTTTTGAGATGGCCCTTTATCTCGATTTGGGGAGGCACCAAGCTGCCAGAATGTTTTATTATTCTGTTTAATTTGTGGGGACGTTATCCTACTTTTAAAAGTTACCTTCTGATTCGTTAAATGCACTATTTTTAAGATGATTTGAATTTAGGGTTTAGTTAGGTAAGTAAAGAAATTGATTCTATGAATACATGATTTATTTTAGAATAGAAAAATACCTTTTGAATACAGAATGATTATAGTGTGTTACAAATAGAAAATGTATGTGTGTTAGAATATGTAAATTGAAACGATACTTATTTACTTACAAACTACCGGCGGAGCTATTCCTCTTTTGAATCACAAAGCATCCGTCGGGCGAAAATTCTTTTGTTCTTGTTTCTACCGAAAATCGCGACGTAAGATTCGCGCAATTTTCTTTCGTTTGCGAGATTGCACTTGTGGCGAGTGGACGCGGGCAATATCTATGCAACCGGCCGTCTCACGCAACTGTGTAAAACTCACTGCGGATCTACCGTTTACCGAATTAGTCCGGGCAATATCTATGCAACCGATAATTCGATAATTGGTTTTGATCGCGCTCGTGGGCCACCGATATTTGAGACGGACGCGGGCAATATCTATGCAACCGGCCGGTTATAAATAACAAGATTTTAGAACTGTTTAATAGATTAACAATTCCAAAATCTCACCAAAATCAGCCCGCACTGGACTCCACCGGCTCAGAGAATTTGAAAATTTTAACGTCTGCCCTAATTCATGCAAATCGGGTTCCGGGTCGCGGACGGGCTTTTTGTCGCGAAATTTCTCTGTCCCAAAACACTTTCTAGGTTAGACCCAGGAGAGGTGTCTTCGAGAAGAAGCGAGAATTCGTACTGCGATGATTGAAATTTTGCGACAAGCCTCTAACCCTTGCCTTTGGTGCAAAGCGGGGAAGATTTTTAGGAGTAGGAGTAAGTAGTAGGAGTAAGTCATGGGCCCATTGGTCTATGCATTTTTGCTGACGTTTTGGATCTCACGGTGGGTCCGTGAGAACGGAAACGGTCTGTTAACATGATACTTTTTTGAAATATTATTTGAAATAACTTAGAATTTAAATAATAATTATATTGTTTAATTAATAGAATTATTATTTATCTTAGTTATAATAGTGTATATAATTTATTTATTGTAATTATATTGTTCCTACTTTTTATAGGTTGCTTGTATATGCATTTTACATATCGAGTAATATATATATATATATGCATATACATACAACCTAATGTCCTCCGGCATTTTGTTGTAACAACAATGTTTACAACAAAATGTTTAACTATTGTTAAATTGTTTCTGTGTGCACTTGACTTGATTCATAAATTCAAGTGTCATAAGGCATGCCGCCTTGTAGTTTACGTCAGCTGTAACGCACGTGCGTTTGTTTTGAAGCTGTAGTCTACAGCTTATGGGCCCTGAGGGGAGAGGAAAGTTCTACGCACAACCAGGCAGCGATTAGAGGCAAGCATAGCGCACTTGTGTTGGTGTCCGTAGCATGAAAGCCTTCAAGGTATTAGTTCTGTAGCCGGGGAAACCAGTGAGTGTGCTGGTGTTCATAAGCGGCGGTCGCGCAGGCATGTGTGTGTTGCCGCCGACCATCCCCACACACGCGCAACCTCACAGCGTATTTTCTTGGTTGTAAACAGTAATGACAATTGGTATATATATTGGCTGCATCATTGCGCCTACCCTTATGTTTTACAGATAATTGGGTACAAATTTTATATTTATTATTTACCGCACAATATTGCCGCAAGGTTCGATGTAGGCAGCATTGACTGCGTTGGTATAATTATTAATAATTATTTATTATATTTATTATTTAGTAGATGGAGAAAAGAAATAGTAATTTCTTTTGTCCTTCTAACTATTTTATAGGCATTTCTTAGTTAAAGGCATTCTCTCGGTAAGATATTTGACGTTATCAGGGTGTCAAATATCCTCAAGCATATCGTCGCTGCGTTGCGATGCTTTTATATGCTTGGGTTAATTTGAAATTAAATTTATTCTACATGGTTGCCAAATGACTCTTTTAAAGGACTAGTATTCTAACAATCCACCGTGAAAATTCTAGTTTTCGTCCCCGAAAACCCTGATGCCTTGAACTTAGAGATGCACGTAGTAGGACGATGTGTTAACAAAATTTCTTTAATATTTCCAAAATAATTATACAATTTTATATATAATATGAGTAAAAGTAGTAGTGGCTTCGGTAATGGCCTTAAAATTTTCATTCTTAAATGGTTATCATTATTGTCAATTATTAATTGAAATTCCGATTAAGATTAAGATACGGCAATAATATATTGGGTATCAAACCCGATTATTTACTAAATACTAAATGGTTTCATAAAATTTAAATACAAAACATAAAACAGCTTTCAAGTCTAATTTCAATTGCAAGGCAGAAAGCATATACTTTGAAAACTGTTTTACAAATAGCATGCTTTATTTGTTTAATAATTATTATTATTTTTTTTTTGTTTTTTTGTTTGTTTGTTCTTTTTTTGTTTTTTTTTTTTTTGTTTTTTTTTTTTTTGTTTTTAATTTGGGGAATTTTCAAAGAATTATTTTCTAGAAAATTTCTCGAATAACTAATACAATAATTCTTTGTGTTCTTAATTTTCTACTATTACATAAAATTTTTTAAGAACGCAAAAATGGCTTTTGGTAATTGCACTGAAATGTGAGCCAAAATCTAGTCTCCATCTTACTACTGAAACTACCCTTCCGAAATATGTGACATTTTGATCGCAACATGGTACATTCCTCGAACTGCCCCAGTGGTGCTTAATTTAATTAGACGCTTGTATTTTAACGTTGCGCCCGCACATCTCCTAAGTAGTACAAACGCAATTGGGAACCGTCAGATTAGTCACGTAGTGTCGGTGCGTAGTGGTCCAGTACCTCACTCCAGTAGTTCAGTGCTCTTTCAGTCTTCGCGACGATCGGTGTAGTTTGTAACCTTAGATTGTGAGTGTCGAATTTGAGTGTTCATTGAAATTTAGTGTTTTCTGTCTCGAAGGAAACGCGAAAATGGTTTCAAACAAGATGGAATTGAATTTTGGCAAGGAATCAGATCATTATTCTTCGTCTTGTTCTTATTCGTGGTCATCCTGGTCTCTCGAGGATGAACATGAAGAAGCTATCGATATTGTTCGAAGAGGGAGGGAGATTTGTAGTTTGGTTCCGGGGGACAAGAATGTGACTCTGAGGGGCCACCTCTTGACAAGGTTGCTTGTTGGAGAAACAAAGGAGCATTCTATGCCCTTTGTTGAAAAGGTCAAGAGATATTTTCGGTACAAGACTCACTTCCAGCAACTCGGATCGGAGAGAGGGTAAGTAGGATTAAAGTTCTTGCTAATAGGGTGCCCACTATTCTCATTTAACAAAATTCTCGGTTATCAGGGTAGAGTGGGATGGAAAGCCAGGGTAAAATTCCATTGAATATCCTTGCGAAATTTAACCGTCCTCCACTTAGACTAACTTTCTTATTTTACAAGATTTATCGTGTTTATTTAGTAAAATTAATTAAATACATTTAATATTTTAGTAGTTTTAAAGTGCAAAAAAAATTAAACGATTGCAACTAAAATATGTTATCTGTAATGAAACTTAAAGAAAGCTTCCAAAAAGGTACGAAAATTGATAGTGCAAATTGAAAACAGGTAAACTCAACACAAATTTCAATTTTGTTTGCTAAAGCTTTTTTATAATTATTAAAACATTGTTTAAATGTGATCATTTGTCATATAATTAAAGGAAAGTTATAAAGAATGTCCAAAATTTTTTTTTTTTTTTTAATTGTTTAAAATTTTATCAAATTGTCCTGTAAACAAGAGGATTTTAGAAATATTTCAGTTAATATTTCTAAAGGTAATTGAATTAAAAGTTCGAAAATAATACTTAATAAGTGACAGAAGCAATTCTCAAAATTATTCGAATTTGCAGGTTTTGAAATTTGAACAATAATACGGAAAATAGTGGATAGTAATTAAATATTTGTTTCAAAATCCATTTAAATTCAAAATTATTTTTAGTATTAGAGATTTGAAAATGTATTTTAAACATATTTTGGAGTTTCAATCAATTTTAGAGTTATTATTCTTTTTTTTTTTGTAGTGGCCACCCCACAATTTTAATACAGATTTTACAGCATCGAAAGTAAAAATGTGGCTTTTCACCCCACTTCACCCTATCATTCAGAATTTTTTTTTTTTTTTTTTTTTTTTAATATGTTTACTAATTTGTGTATTACTAGTTTGTTTAAGTCACTGCCGAAAGTCCCACCATATAACGGCTTCGTTCCCGCAGAGAAGTCCTTCAAACTGGCATTTATTCAGATTTTTTATAAAAACGCGGACGGCGTACACTCCCAGAACGGATCATGGCAGTTGGTAAGTGTAAAAAAAATTTTATTTTATTCTAAATACGGACTGCTTTCTTTTGGGGTATTCTATATACAACTTTGTTTTAGACATACAACATAGATTTACCCGAATTATGGGAGCCAATCGGGACCGAGGGACATTTATTTGGGGAAGACAATTGCAAGCCTTCTGAGGAGAATACAGAAGAGATGGGAACGGCCAATGCAGAGGACAGTGAGGAGGATTGGTTCTAGATGTTCTTTTGCTCATCCAAAATATATATACATATATTCTCCCTTCCTATAATGGAATCCTTTTTCCTCCCCTCCTTCTTTTAAATTTATATTGTAAAGAAATTCAATTTTATTAACCGTCAAGGGGAATTTAAATTTTGATAAAATAAAATTCTTTTAATTAAACTATTGCCTGTTTTAATGAAACTTCCCTAACAAGTCGGCTATCTTCAATAATCCTATTTAAATTTCAATTGCTTCCAACATATAGTAATCTTTTCTTTGAGCTTAATTGATACAATAATGTCTGAAACAAATATTAATTATGAAAAGAGAAAAAAAAGCTTGTTGCATTGAATCATTTAAAGTATGTAAAAATTGGTAAACAAACGAGCCCGAGACATTTGTTTTTTTTTGGTATTTAATCATTTCTAAGGTAAAACAGCATTCTTCAGTGTCGAAGGAAATCAAAATTTCGTTTGAGATTTGACTGTTAAGCGAAAGAAAGACTTATAGGGTCAGAGTAAGAGGGGAAGAGAGAGGGAAAAAAAAAAAGACGGAGAATCATTTTGGTTCTGTTCAGAATGATTTTCCTCTGCTGCTCGTCGCTAGCTGTGGGTTACAATTGGGCAACGTACGAGTTCCAGCCTTGACAGATTTATAGTTCTCGGGGATCGATTGACAGTATAGGTACCCGGAATGCTGATCAAACGTGCTTATTTCTCCAAATATACATTTATATTATCATTGCTTTACCTTATTTAATTAAATAAATAAAAAAATTACCCAAACCAAACAAAAATTACCCGATTCAAACAAATCATTTACTTGGTCGTAATCCAATAAATGTGTATTTGAGTCAAATACACAAATATTGAACTAAATATTTTATATTATCGCACCAAACAATTGTTTACCCGAATCAAACACAACTAATTTAAATCAAATAAACAGAACACCCGAATTCAATAAACGATCATTTGACCCGAATATTCCATTTAATTGTATTAAACAACTATTCATTTAAATCAAACTCAAATTATTCAAATCAGACAAATCGAATACTTCAATGTAATAAACAATTATCCGAATCAAGCATGAAAATTATTCCATTCAATATTGATAATTTCAACATCAACAATATTAAAAGTAATTAATTGCAAAAGATAAATACTGATGACAATTCATTGATAAATTCACTTTCACATTTTTTTATACTTAAACGCAAATTTTTTTTTTTTATATATATATAATTTTTTTTTTTAATAATATTAATTATTATATCAATAATAATAAATTTATATAGTAATAATATAAATTTATTTGTAATAATTATAAATAAAATAACTTTATTGTGTCAAATAATTTCCATTTACATCAAACAAACGAAATACCTGGGTAAAATATACGAAAGAACAGCTTCAAATAGTTCAATATTTGTATTAAACCAGGGTGGCTGCTGGACCGGGAAATGACAATGAATTTTGATCTTGACCGGGATTTTAAAAAAAATTTTTTTTTTTACAATTATTCATAAGCAAATTTTTCTATATTTTAGAATGTTAAATTATTATTATTATAGATTGAATTTTCAAACGTTTCAAATTGAAGTTTTAGAAAAGTTGAATTTTTAAAAGATTTTAACTAAAATTCTGAATAAGTTAGATTTTAGAAGTATTTTTATTCCCATTTTCAAATTATTCAAAATTTCATGAAATTGTCTTGTAAACAAGGGGATTTTAAAAATATTTTAGTTATTTCTAGAATATAATATTGAATTGAAATTTTGAAAATAATTTTTAATAAGTTACAGTAGCAATTCTTAAAAACTATTCAACTTTATATAGTATAGGTATTCAAAAAAATCTATTTGAGTTCAAAACTATTTTTAGGATTTGGGAAAGAATCAAAGTTTTGTCTAAAATCAGGAAATTCTTTTAATCTTTCATTGAATAATTTATTTTCAGAGTTATTATTTATGACCGGAAAAAATAATTTGTGACCGGGAATTATTTTTAAAAAAAAAGTGTCCACCCTGATTAAACAAATCTATTCATTCAATTCAATTCACCATTCATCCGAATCAAGCACGATTTATCCGGTTCAAGTAGGCATGGTCTCTTTTGATTCAACTAAAAGTACTTAAATCAATCAAACATCTTTTCAAACAATTTGAATTATTTGAATCAAACAAATCCTTTCTTCAATGCAGTAAAGTTATAAATTACAGTCATTAACAAAATCGATTATTATTCGATAAATTAAAGAAATTGCAGAAAGAATTCAATTCTTTGCAACATCATAATAATTTTCCTGAATGAGATGAATCATTTAGTAATTACAAGAAAATTCTGAAAAGAATTGAACATAACTACATAACATAACAGAACATAACTAAGAGAAAATTAATTAAAAAAAAAATTTTTGTTAAAATTGATCTTAATTAAAATTCCCTTTTTTTTTTTTAAATTTGTACAGTTCATTTTGAATTAATTTTTATACGTAAAATTATTCATGGAGGAAAATATAATGAATTCTTTTTCTTTTTCAATTAATTAAGTCTACACCGTTAAACACCAAATAATTCTATACAAATCAATAATGCAGTTTTCAGAAAATCATCAAGTTCTTTACACTTATAGATTTTTGAATTTAAAATTCTCTTCAAATTGATAAAATTTTTAGAAAATTATCTACATACGAAAGTTTTACAAAAAAAAATTCTACACGATATAATTAAATATAATTTAATTCAATTCTAATTAATATTTATTTTTTTTTTATATAAAAAAAAATGTATTGATTTGTGTAGATTTGAACAATGTTAAATTTAATATTAATAATTACTTAAATTAAAGCATCCAGAATTATATTTTTCAGATTAGAATTTTCGGTATGGAATCAATTGCAAAGAGCTAAGCAAATTTAATTAAATAAAAAAATTTTTTTTTTTTAATCATGTGTGTATAGATATTTACTAGTATAAGTACTCTCTATTTCGAATTAGTAAAAATGTTAAGACGAGACAGGAAAATTTTGAAATAATTAAAATCTTTCTATGCTGGGGAATAATATTTAAAGGCGTGCAACGAAAGAAGGAAATGAAAATAGAGAGGTTGAAATTTGGGAAAGAGAAACTGCCTTTTCTTCGCCTAGGATTTTCTGTCGCCCGGCCCCTAATGTTTAGACGTTAATACTTCGCAAGATCTCTGACTCGATAATTTTTACGACCGTCGAGAGATTGAATGGCGCCGACAGGCGAACCCAATACCGACCCGACGTGACTAATCGTAGAAATACCTCTCTTGTGACAAATGCTCTTCTCGTTGGGTACATTAAGTTTAGGTGCCCTAAGTCTATGTTTTCCTTTTCCGAAGTGCGTGTCGTTCGAGAATGTTAAAATAAATAGTTCAAGTTTCTGTTTATTTTTCAATATTTAAGAGTGAAATAGTGATAATATTTGAAAACCAAATTATCCATATACATATATACCTACATATATATATATATATATATATATACACATATATATATATATCCACGTACATATAATCTGTACTAAAATTGGACCATAAGCGAGGGATTTTGTTGGAGCTCACTCCCATAAGCCGAGGTACGTTTTAAAATTATTATTCTCCTTTTTTTTTTTTTTACCATGATATCCTGAATAGTATTTATTTTTTTCTTATCTTGTTAATAAATTGAATTCCTTTAATTAATTTTAATATTCATGAAAGAATTCAACAATTATTTATAAAAACAATATCATTCTCGAGAAGAATTTTATAAAAATTTTGATTTACGGGAATAAAATTTTGGCAATAGTTCTCTTATTTATTGATATAACTGAATCCTTTTGAAGAATTATTTTTAATAATAATTCAATAGTTGCTAAGAGTTTTATTAAAATTTTCAAAATAATTTTAATTCCCTTGAGAAACTCTACTATCCCTGAAAATAATTGAATCATTGCAGAAAAGTCCATAAAATTGTTAAAAATTGGATTTCTGTACAAAATTTTGCTATTTTTTAAAAGTAATTGAATTCTTCATAGGAACTTTATGAACATTGTTCCAAATAATAATTAATTTTTTTTTTATAAAAGAACATTATGAAAATGTTATTAGTAATATGGATTGAAATTGAATTGAAATTAAATTCTTGTGAAAACCCTTATTTGTGAGAATAACTACAACTACTCTAGTTTCGGAAGATGCGGAATTCTTTGTTAAGAAAAACTAAATAAATAATTATTAAAAAATTTTTTGTTGTTTTTTTTTTTTGAATAATTTAAATGTTCGTAATCAAAATTATTTTTGTTTTAAGAGAATTATTATTTTGTTTTAGAAAAAGAAGAAAAATGTTTGCACAATTCATATTCTTAATCTTATTTTTGAAACAAGATTTTCCTCAGGAATTAAGACATTCAAAATTTCAAATTTAAACCCTTTTTAAATTGAACAATTTATAAAAGTATATTTTATTTCTTCATGTTTTCTAATAAATTAAAGATGACCGAGAGACAAAATCATTATTTTACATTATAAGAATATTATTACTGCAACTTCATCAAACTTTCAACATTTTAATTAAATTATTATTTTCTAGAATTTTAAATTATTATTGTTATTATTATTACTATTATTATTATTTTAAATTATTTTTATGAAAATAATTGAATTTTTTTTTTGCGATGAATTTTAATTACTTTGTGAATATAATTTAAATGTTTGCGTAGAATTTCAATAAAAGTTTCAAATGATTGAATTCTTGCAAAGAATTTTATCGAAATTTGATACTAATTGCATTTTTTTTTTTTTTTTTAAAGTTTCTTTAGTTTATGGAATAGAATCGAATTTTTTTTTTTTAACTGTATTGAAAATAATTGGATACCTGAGAATAATAATAATTATTAATAATAAAAAAAAACTTTAATTCTTGCGATGAATTTTAATAATATATTTCCTTTTAAATAATTGAATTCTTTTTGTGAAATATTTTATTAAAATCGTAGATATTGAAAATCATTAAAATTAGTAAAATTTCTGAAATAATTTAGCTTTGGAGAAGAATTTTGTTCTGGGACAGATAAATAAGTTATGAAATTAATGTTTTCATTGTCTATAATTAA